AAAAATAAATCAGACCCGCCATCCTCCCAGACATCAACAGGTCAGCTCGGGACAGACGGAGCTACCGGGGACGAGCCAGACGAGAGCAGAACGGGGAGAGGGGAGAGGGGAGGGAGGTGAGCAGCCGCTAGCCAAGACACGACTTTTAACCACTTGTCGCCACTCCGGGATGCGCGCAGTGCCAGCCTCCCGATCCTCGCCCGGGCTCTCCACTTTCTCTCCCCCGGCCGCCCGGGGGACACGGCGGCGGGTGCGAGCTGCTCCCGACAACAAAGTTGCGCGATCGCGCCGGAGCCGCTGGCCCGGAGCAGCGGGCTGTGTTTTTCGCCACTGAAGTGGTTAAAGTTTGGCTGGTGCCGTTCCTGCCAGCCCATCCCCCATCGCACACCTTCCCAAAAACAATAACCCCCCAAAACCGCTCCGAAGAGCACCGATTTCTCCCCAAAGGGCGAGCCGCCGGGGTCGGGCGGGCTGCCCACACCCGCCCCACGGGCCCCCCTGCCCTCAGCGACCCCGATCGAGCGGCGTGGCGCCGGGAAAAACTCACCCCCTCACTGTAAGCTGTTGGAAAGTGTTTCAATGGAGGAGTCAGAGGCTTTCTCTCTCTCTCTCTCGCTACAGGCAGCCATTCATTGTGAGCACAGGCGAGCCGCCGAGCGCAGAGTTATCGAGGGCAAACACTCTCCCAGGGGGAGCCGAGCGCAGAGCCACCGATCGCAGGACCGCACGGCCGCCTCCGCGTGGAAACGCCTCCCCGCACGGGCCCGGGCCCGCGTGCCCCCTCCCCACACACACACACACAAGCCGCGCGCGACGGCCCCACCCGTGTCGGCGACGCAGCTGGTGTCTGGGCTCCGGCAGCCCCGGGGATGTCATTTGCTCGGAGTTGTGAAGTTGTGTTATTATTAAAAAAAAGAATGGTAATAAAAGGGAAAAGGGGCCACTTTACATAGAGACGGGCTGTTCTTTTCAAACACCTTGGAAGGTTTTTTCAATTTACTTAAAGGTGCAAACCTACCGCGTCTTTTTCTCTAACTCCATTCATTTAAAGTATTATTATTATTATTATTATTATTATTATTATTTAAAGTAAGTCTTGTATAAAGAAGGTCAGTGTCCACAGACAGGCTCGCTGTGTCCAGTGTGTCCTGAGTGGATCAGTCCCTGGGGTTCTGAAGCAGGTCAGTGTCCACAGACAGGCTCACCGTGTCCAGTGTCCAGTGTGTCTCGGCTGTGGTCAGTCCCTTTGGTTCTGAAGAAGGCCAGTGTCCACAGACAGGCTCGCTGTGTCCAGTGTGTCCTGAGTGGATCAGTCCCTGCGGTTCTGAAGCAGGTCAGTGTCCACAGACAGGCTCGCCGTGTCCAGTGTCCAGTGTGTCTCGGCTGTGATCAGTCCCTGTGGTTCTGAAGAAGGTCAGTGTCCACAGAAAGGCTCGCTGTCTCCAGTGTCCAGCGTGTCTCGGCTGTGGTCAGTCCCTGTGGTTCTGAAGAAGGTCAGTGTCCACAGACAGGCTCGCTGTGTCCAGTCTGTCCTGAGTG